CCAGTCTCAGTCTTTCAGAGCGCCAGTCTCAGTCTTTCAGAGTGCCAGTCTCAGTCTTTCAGAGCGCCAGTCTCAGTCTTTCAGAGTGCCAGTCTCAGTCTTTCAGAGCGCCAGTCTCAGTCTTTCAGAGCGACAGGCTCAGCTTTCACACAGGCCTCACACGCTCTCTTTCCGGGGACTTTGCATGTTTTCATGAACATGTTTTGAAGAGCATTTCCACCGCCTCAGCTTCACTGGTGTTCCATTTTCTCTTTTTAACCACCTTTGAACCAGAATAAACTTGTGAAAATGACAATAACAGTAAACAATTTACTCCATACTAAACAATGTAGTAACCATGTCTGCTATGACAGAGTACCTCTGAAAAGTAGGACTAGCTGGCACCGTTGGTGAGCTAGTCGGGACTATGTCTGTCTGCTGAAGAGTTTTCGTCTCGATCAAGTGAATGTTCTATGGACACCTCAGCTTCTAGTTCTATTACAATAAAACAGGAAATATAAATCAATTAAAAAACAGTAAAACACTTTTTAGATTCAATTAACCAACGGTAATGTAAGCTATCATATACGGTATGTTTGTAGACTGTGTTTTGACTTGACTTCAGGACATGAGGTTTATTTTCTATGACTTACGCTCAGCAAATACAAATATTGCAGGTCAGGGGTAAGCAACCCTGATCGGCAGGTTTTCCATCCTACTTGGTCTCTGATGAACCACACCTGATCTCAGACAGATAGCAACTGATCAGGTAGGATGGAAAACATGCTGGATACCAGTTCTCCAGGAACAGGCTTACTTAGCCCTGTTATAGATCAAAAATTGCTGTAAACAAACATTTCCAAATGCAGTTTTGGGTTACTGATATTTGTTTATTGAAACCCATTTTGAAATTGTCCAAATTTGGGTGGCAAATGTGTTCATTGTCGATTGGTTATGCAAATAGCCTACCTCAGCAACACAAAATACTATTGTCATCCTGAAAAAAGCTAGCAAACTCAGAAAATGATGATAAATGACGTAAAAAAAAAAATGGATGCATGAACAAATGAAGAGACTCAAGCTTTACTCACGATCTGGTTAGTATTTTAATTTGCTGTAATGTACTAGGGCTGCATGTTATTGGGAAAATTTCAAATATTACGACGTGATTTTGTTGCAATAAATATAAGAACATAAGAAATTTACAAACGAGAGGGGGCCATTCGGCCCATCAAGCTCGTTTGGGGAGAACTTTAATAGGTCTGAGTTTTTAAAATCGTATCTAGCTCTGATTTAAAGGAACCCATGGTT